GTGGACTTCAACTCCCAGAATTCCTCAGCCAGCATGGGGGAACTATGGCCCCTTCATGACTCGTGGACTTCAATTCCCAGAATTCCTCAGCCAGCATGGGGGAACTATGGCCCCTTCATGACTCGCGAACTTCAACTCCCAGAATTCCTCAGCCAGCATGGGGGAACTTTGGCCCCTTCATGACTCGTGGACTTCAACTCCCAGAATTCCTCAGCCAGCATGGCTGGTTCAGGAATTCTGGGTATTAAAGTCCACAAGTCATAAAAGAGCCAAGGTTGCCTACCCCTGTCCTTTGCCCACGTATTACCAAATTGTTGTGTGGTTTACTTTTTGCTGAGCCAGGCAATTGTTAAGTGAATCTTGCCTGATTTTACAACCTTTTTTTTTTGCCATGGTTGTTCAGGAAATCACTATAGTTGTTAAATGAATCATGCGGTCACTAACTGAATCTTTGGACAGACATATTTGATAACAGTGAGTGACTGTGGGGAACACTCCAATGGCCCCTAATTGTGAAAAACGGTCATAAATCCCTTTTTTTCAACGCCGTTGTAATTTCGAACAGCCGCTAAACGAATGGTTGTAAGTCCAGGAGTACCTGCAATGAGTAGAAGGTGGTTAAGGAGAGAAGCAACCTAGAAATAAGGAGAAATTTCTTCACAGTGAGAACAATTAACCAGTGGAACAACCTGCTTCCAGAAGTTGTAGGTGCTCCATCACTGGAGGTTTTTAAGAAGAGACTGGACTGAAATGTCTGAAATGGAACAGGGGTCTCCAACATTTTTGGGCTTGTGGCCCAGAGGGAAGGAGAGCAGCTTTGCAAATTGGCGTGCGCGCACATGTGCGCGTGCAAACAGGGCTGCCCGGCACTAGAGGCCCCGTTCGCGCATGCGTATATATTCTAGTGCCGTGCACATGCACGAGCGGCCAGGGACACCTTCCCCCACGGCGGCTAGCAGCCCCGTTCGTGCGTGCGCAAATGGGCCACGCACACCCCTGGCGCTAGCCGCCCTGTTCGCGCATGTGCAAATGGGCCACGCACACCCGCCTGTGCTAGCGGTCCCATTGATGCGCACGCATGTGCAAATGAGGCTGTGGGTGCTAGCACGAGTGGGAAGAGTGCATGCGGACGCGCACCGGCCAGCCATTCCCGCTGGCCAAGAGGCCACGGGCCGAAAGTGGGCCACGGCCCATACATTGGGGACCCCTGGGCTAGAAGACCTCCAAGGTCTCTTCCAGCCCTATCATTCTATGATCTCCCACCCTGAGGACCGAAAATGTATGCACAATTCAGGGTTCCTAGGCGTGTCCCCAAGCATGTTGGATGTTGACCGAAAGAAGGACGGTTCCTTCAACCTTCTTGTGTTGTTTTTTCCCCACAGTCGCTGAAAGCCTCCTTGGAGATGAAATGCAAGTGTCACGGAGTCTCTGGTTCCTGCTCCATCAAGACCTGTTGGAAGGGCCTTCAAGAGCTGAAGGACATCGCCCTGGACTTAAAAAACAGATACCTTTCGGCCACCAAGGTGGTCCACCGGCCCATGGGCACGCGCAAACATCTGGTGCCCAAGGAGCTTGACATCCGTCCGGTGAAGGAGAGCGAGCTGGTTTATCTGCAAAGTTCTCCTGATTTCTGCATGAAGAACGAGAAAGTGGGCTCCTACGGGACGCAGGACAGGTAAGGAGCGTCCAGGTGTGGGCCTTGGATGGCTGTTCTGTACGTTGGGCCCCTTTGGGGGGGTGGCTGCTTTTCATAGCAGAGGAAAAATGTCTTCTCTTGAGCCCAGTTTACAGGTACAGAGGGTTCCCGGGTCTTTTGCAGCTGCACAATGATGCGAGGCTAGTTCCCCACTTAACCCCCACTTAACCCCTACTAAAATAGATGTTGAGACTCTAGAAAGAGTACAGAGAAGAGCAACAAAGATGATTAGAGGACTGGAGGCCAAAGCATATAAGGAAAGGCTGCTGGAATTGGGAATGTCTTGTTTAATGAAGAGAAGGACGAGGGGGGACATGATAGCAGCCTTTCAGTATCTCAGGGGCTGCCCCAAAGAAGAGGGAGTCAAGCTATTCTCCAAAGCGCCTGAAGGGAGGACAAGAAGCAACGGATGGAAACTAATCAAGGAGAGAAGCAACCTGGAACTAAGGAGAAACTTCCTGATAGTGAGGACAATCAACCAGTGGAACCACCTGCCTCCAGGAGTGGTGAATGCTCCAACACTGGAAGTTTTTAAGAAGAGACTGGACAGCCATTTGTCTGAAATGGTATAAGGTTTCCTGCCTGAGCAGGGGGTCGGACTAGATGACCTCCAAGGTCTCTTCCAACTTTATTATTATATTATATATTATATTATATTATATTATATTATATTATATTATATTATATTATATTATATTATATTATATTATATTATATTATATTATATTATATTATATTATATTATATTATATTATATTATATTAATTATATTATATTATATTATATTATTATATTATATTATATTATATTATATTATATTATATTATATTATATTATATTATATTATATTACATTACATTACATTACATTATATTATATTATTATATTTATATTATATTATATTATATTATATTATATTATATTATATTATATTATATTATATTATATTATATTATATTATATTATATTATATTATATTATATATTATTATATTATATTATATTATAATATTATTATATTATATATTATTATTATTATTATTATTATTATTATTATTATTATTATTATTATTATTATTATTACTCCCCAACAAGTTTCCCAACAAGTACTATTCCATCAGCCCCAGCAGGCAGGTTCATTGAATGGCATTGATGGGAGCTGGCATCCGACACATCTGGAGAGCAGCTGCCCGAGACTGAAGCTTAGACTGCCGTTGACTTAATATTTTGCTTTTCGCACGGAAAGTTTTCGTTAGACAAATGCTCCATTTTCTTTGGCCAAATACAAGTCTTGGGATTGGAGCAGCCCCACGGCGAATAGGCAGGGGTCCAGCTGGCCTGGGAGGGGTCCAACAGAACCGGTAACATCCGAAGCAGACCGGATTCAGAGGATCCGCGATCTCTCGATCCACGTTTATCCGTTTTGTATAAACGGTCTCCAGGTGAAATTTCCTTCTGGGGATTGCGGCTTTGCAGATTTCCCCCGTTCGATCTCGGCCTCCCTCCGTTAGGCTGATGTGTTGGCACAGCTGGAAAGCCTTATGTCAGCCCTGCGAGGTAGGCCGGTCCAAGAAATGTTAGCAAGCCTCTTCTGATCAATCCAGTACAGGGAATCCTCGAGTTAGGACCGCAGCCAAGCCCCTTGCTCAACGAGACAGTTGTTGAAGTGGCTTTTGTCCCGTTTTACAACCTTGCCCCGGTTGTTAAGTGGATCACTGCCATCATGAAGTTAGTGACACGGTTGTTAAGTGAATCCGGCTTCCCCCATTGATTTTGCTTGTCAGAAGGTCGCAAAAGGGGATCACGTGACACCCCCCTGGGACATGGCAACTGTCATAAGTACAAGTCAGTGGCCAAGCCTCCGAATTTTGGTCATGTGACCTTGGGGATGCTGCGACGGTCATAAGAGAGAGAAACGGTCATAAGTCGCTTTTTTTCAGTGTTGTTGTAACTATCAGTGGTCACTAAACAAATGGTTGTAAGTCAGGAGCTCTCTGTCCACAGCAGTTGGGCCAGAGGTCCCTGTCTTCCAGATGTTTGGGCTATCAGTCCCCTAGGCACGGGATTCCCTAGTCAGCAAAACATCATTAGAACTCAGGCTCTCCTGGGGATTGGCCCAAAGTCATCCAGCTGGCTTTCGTGTCCAAAGCAGAACTAAAATTCACCACCTCCTGGTTTTTAACCTGGTGCCCTTCCTTCCTTCCTTCCTTCCTTCCTTCCTTCCTTCCTTCCTTCCTTCTCTCTTTCCTCCCTCCCTCCCTCCTTTCCATTGCCCTCTCCCTCCTTCCTTCCTTCCTTCCTTCCTTTCCTCCCTTCCTCCCTTCCTTCCTCCTTTCTATTGCCCTCTCCTTCCTTCCTTCCTTCCTTTTCCTTCCTTCCTTCCCTCTCTCCCTCCCTCTTCCTCCCTTCC